GTCTTGACAGTGTATAAGCTTCACCTTTTTACAAACCTTTTGTATGAACTTGGACAGAATAAGCAGATAAACCTTTGGTGTTTTGAAATTTGAGGTAGTCTATCTGTAAATTTGATACCTCTTTTTTCATTTTTGATGAGCACTTTATAACGATGTGATACCCCTGATTGATCAGTCATTTGAAAGGTCATTTGGGGTCATCAAGGTCATTGAAGGTCAGATGTGTCACTTATTAGCTATGATTTAATCTTCACTAGGCACCAAAACAGCTCTGGAGATGATTCCAAGGGCATATATGTTTTCATAAAATTGCTTATGGCACTAAAAGCCTAACATTTCAAAGATGGAATGAGACGAATATGTGACATTTTATTTCCTGCCTGCCTGTTATGTGAATCAATTCAGTGATAAAAATATTAAAAAATAAACCCTAAACCAAACTATTTAGCAAAGAGGCCTACTGCAGTGATGTTTGATTTGCAGCTTACTCCAGGGCAGTGGGCATTAGTGTCAAGGTATCAGGGGTAGTTGAAGAGGAATGGCTTGAATCTGTGACATAGTTAATTTTACCCATCCATTACAGAAAGATGAGACTGTGCCAAGGTGGCATGCACAAAGAATCTCTGTGAAAGTAACTTCATTTATATGTGTACAGCTTGTGCCATCTATTGTATTGTTATTGATGATCTTACATCCAGGATTTTTAAGGAGATCCAGATTATAATTTGCCAATTATAACATAGAATTGTTACTTGTCCAAACTACCGCTGTGGCAGTTTAAAGCTAAAATTCAATGGAGATGTTTGTTTTATTATATTTTGGGTGGAAAATATTGACCCTTTACTCTTCTAAACTGTCTGCTAAGGTAGACATAAGGTTGAAATTATATGATAATATTCTATTTTCCACTAAAAAGGAACTGTAAAAATAGTTGAATTTGTGTATGATGTATGACTCATGTTTTTTTCACAACAATGTTGTTTGGTAAGCATTGCCATGATGTTTTTCTATTTTTTCCACACAAATGTGTTGATAATGTGTTGATAATGCGTGTTGATCATTGCCAAGATGCTGGAGTTCAATGACCTGTGCTGATCCATTGTCCCAGGGATGTTCCTTGGATTGCCTCTAATTAACACCCCTGGGTGGGGAGGATGAGGCTTACTTTGTACATTAGTATTTATCACTTTGTATTCAGACTTGGTGCCTTCTAGCTCTCTTTATAATGTTTTTTTTTCTGTCATGTCTATTGAATTTTAAGATATTTAAATGTAGTTCATAGGATCTAGTTGATCTAGGTTTCCTACAGTGTATAGTTTTTGTACAGTATCAAAGTGCTTTTTCTAGAACTTTTTTACAAAAATATCAAAAGTTGACTCGTATAAAGGTTCTTTTTCTATTACAGGATTACACCGATGGGAGACTATGGTCTAGTCTGTTGCATATTTCCAGTCTTGGTAGATACATTGCCATTCAGGGCACCACAATGCGATCTTAGCGTTACGACTATCGTAAGCCAGTGTTTAAAGTATGGGAGTTACAATCACCTTAGTGCTAAGATGGCTTTGTGGAACCGGACCCAGATCTTTTACTCCGATATGACATATCTCTCCATGAAGGTCTGAGGACACCTTCAGGTTGATTTGGTGAACTTTCTAATGAGCCAATCCGTGTTGAAGCATATCTGATTTTTGTATCTTAAAAACGAATATGATCAGGGAGTTCCGTATGCTAAAAATAAAAACACACTAATATATTGTTGTGGATATGGTGTCACCACCCAAATGGATGTATTCTTGAGATTATATTTGTGTTTGGTTATGGTTTTCTTTTGCTATGATCAAAATTTCCAAATAGAGGTGGTAGATCAATTGTTTCAGAAAGCTGATACCTGATTGGTTCAAGAACCTGTGCATCCTTCATTTTGATTGGGTGGTTAGAGTTTGCTAATTATTCACTTGACGTAACCTTAGTTAGCGGTATCATCAGATATTCATGCAGAGAGGTCTCAGAGTAAAATATCTGATTTTACAGACATTAAGTCTGGGTCAAGATATCGTAAAAAATACACTGCATGAAACTGAGACATTGTCTCAGTGTTTTAAAGATTTTCCTTAAAGGGCAAGTAAAGTGAAATAAATTAATGTGATTTTGTTGTGAATATCAATTTTCCTTCATACATTTAGTCAATTTCTAAGAGAGAAAATCATAATATTTGTAGACAGTATTTAAATGTCGAAGTGAAAGTGCTGAAATCACGCTCCGATATCGGCTTCCAAAACAAGCCTTTTGGGGGCGTGGCCTAAATGTACAGGTGCAGAGGTGACAACTGTCTTCATTGGCTGACATTTTGGCATGTGATCTGTCTTGTGATTCTTAGCGGTTATACATACACTGTTTCTGTTATTTTTGTAAATCCCACAAAAATATCAACATTGCATATTTTGTTCAATGTGTGAAAAGCCCTTTCATCTTGACATTGTGAATAATTAAATTAACAATTAACAATTGGTAACTAGCATGTCATTCTTAAAATACTGTTTAGGTAAAAAAACACCAGCTGCCCTCGGCCTTAGTCTACACAATACATGCCTCAGCATCAGCTTGATCGTAATAATCGCTGAAATTGCAAAACGCGTCAGACACCAGAAACCCATGTGTCACCCAGTAAGGGGAATCCCCTCAGTGGCAGAATTTTTTCATTTGGGGAGGATTTCGCCTGTCGTTCTTTATCGTCTGTTTTACACTATTTAAGGTTTTCAAATTTAATTTTGGTCAAGTATATTTTTTGAAGTATGCCCTTTAGTATAAAATCTGAAAAATGAGATGTTGACTTGACTTGCCCTTTAATTGCGAGGTTGATAAGCTTCATAAGATAAAAGTAAGCAGATTAATTATATGTATCATATATTCAAGATTGTAAACTGACCTCAGCCTAGTCTCCCTTAAACATGATCATGTGAAGATTATTTTCAAGTTTATGGTGCTATACCAGAAATATACTACTCAAAAGAAGTTAAACAACACCCAATTCTTTCATATTGCTATAGTAAATCTGTCAGGAAACCTGATTCTTTCTGAAAGAATCGGGTGTTCTTTAGCTTTTTTGAGTAGTATACATTAAGAACCACATGGTGATATTGTTCACCCAATATTATTTTGCCACATGACACCTGCCCAGTGCCTACATTCAGCTCAGAATGAAACGCTGAGAGATCTAGGTCAGTTCCAGATAATTTAGAATTATCTTTGTTGGTCTAGCGTTTTTAAAGTTGATTACTTAAAGCTTTTCTTGTTGACCTATACTGCTGACACTTTGCTAGATATAATGATTATAGTTGGATAAAAGCTAAAGAAAGATTGTATTTCAGATACTGTTTCTTCATACAGAGGAAAAAAACTTTATTCACTTTTTTACCTAAACCCCCCAAAAAAGAACAATTCCTTCAAACAAAGATTTTTTTTGGACTCTACGACATGATGTATTTTTGGAGCTGGGGAATGTGTTTTTTAATCGCTGCTTCTAGGAACAATTTAAAAAAAAAATCCCACCTACACCCATACACCCTAGAATATCACGTGGTCAGTTCCTTAGTGCTGGAGGTTATCCCTAGCAAGTGTTGAGAAGTATGGAAAGTTTTGTAAATCTGATCTGAGGAAAGACGTGGCTATGATATTTAAAATTTTGTATCTTAGCTTGTATCCATGGCAACACAGCAAAACATATTTTGATATAACACTCTTATATTCAGGATACAAACGATGTATGTACGCTTTACACAAAACATGCGTCACCAATTTTCACCTGTAACCATGGTAACAGTTTGGCCAATATTTCATTTAATCCTCATTCACTGGTTATAGTCTTGTATAGTCAACTATTCCCTCATTTCAGTACTAAAGAGGTAAAAATTTCTAATCCAATACTAAAAAAGGCCTTACTGCTGAAATACTGACAAGTGCTGTGAGTGGTTAAGGAAGCTTGTTTTTTTAATTCAGATTAGCCAGTGTCTTTAAGACGCTTGTTGAAATAGATATATATATGTATTTCATAAATGTTTATCAAATGATGCCAGTACTCGCTGGTACAATTTATTCCTCGCATTTCAGTTACTTTATCCGTTCGAAATTATAATTAAATGGCAGTGTGTAAAACTGATTGCTATCACATCATGGGCATATTTACGGATTAGGTCAACAATAACCAGGGCCCTGTTCCACAAAGTAATCTTAGTGCCACGATTGTCGTAAGTCTGTGTTAAGGTACGGGAGTTACGATCATCTTAGTGCTACGACTGTCGTAGGGTGATGTTAAGGTATGGGAGTTATGGTTATCTTAGTGCTACGACTGTCGTAGGGTGATGTTGAGGTATGGAAGTTACGATCATCTTAGTGCTACGACTGTCGTAGGGTGATGTTGAGGTATGGAAGTTACGATCATCTTAGTGCTACGACTGTCGTAGGGTGATGTTGAGTTATGGAAGTTACGATCATCTTAGTGCTACGACTGTCGTAGGGTGATGTTGAGGTATGGGAGTTACGATCATCTTAGTTCCACGACTGTCGTAGGGTGATGTTGAGGTATGGAAGTTACGATCATCTTAGTGCTACGACTGTCGTAGGGTGATGTTGAGGTATGGGAGTTACGATCATCTTAGTGCTACGACTGTCGTAGGGTGATGTTGAGGTATGGAAGTTACGATCATCTTAGTGCTACGACTGTCGTAGGGTGATGTTGAGGTATGGGAGTTACGGTTATCTTAGTTCCACGACTGTCGTAGGGTGATGTTGAGGTATGGGAGTTACGATCATCTTAGTTCCACGACTGTCGTAGGGTGATGTTGAGGTATGGGAGTTACGATCATCTTAGTGCTACGACTGTCGTAGGGTGATGTTGAGGTATGGAAGTTACGATCATCTTAGTGCTACGACTGTCGTAGGGTGATGTTGAGGTATGGGAGTTACGGTTATCTTAGTGCTACGACTGTCGTAGGGTGATGTTGAGGTATGGAAGTTACGATCATCTTAGTGCTACGACTGTCGTAGGGTGATGTTGAGGTATGGGAGTTACGATCGTCTTAGTGCTACGACTGTCGTAGGGTGATGTTGAGGTATGGGAGTTACGGTTATCTTAGTTCCACGACTGTCGTAGGGTGATGTTGAGGTATGGAAGTTACGATCGTCTTAGTGCTACGACTGTCATAAGTCCATGTTAAAGAATGGGAGTTACGTTCGTCTTGCACCAAGATTGCTTGGTGGAACAGCTCCCAGTTCATTTATACCAAAATGAGTATCATAGTGAATGTGTCATTTTATCACCTACATATAACTGGCAAAAGAAACAGAGATCATATACATTTATACGTAACTAAAAAATGATAAGACCAAACATTATTTTTCAAGGACATTCGACATGTGCAGTGATATTTTCTTTTTCCTATGTTAGGCAAAATATTTTCCCCAGAAGTTTCTGGAATAAATAATTTTTAGCACCCAAATTCCACGCTTTCTTTTATAATGCCTTGTGGTGCCAACAGGAAAGTAACACCTCAGATTTTCGTTGCCTTTCAAACTGCTGTTTGTCTCAAATGATAAATGAAATAACCCAGATTTCCCACAATTTTTATGTACCCAAAAATGGCCAGGCCTAATTTAAATTAAATGTGTAAAATTTGAATTTGAATTTGAAAAATTAAGAATCGTACAAAGCTTATGGGTTACATCTCGCCCAACTGAAAAAACAATATGATTAAAATTCAAGACAGTGATAGGAGTTTAAGGTACGAGATTAAGGATAACACTGATGAATAGCAGTGTTTGAAATAACTTTCAAAACCACAGCTGGGCAGGTGACCATAAGTGTTGCCTGCCAATCTTCAAAGTTACCTGCCCTTATTCAGACATTATAAATATTGACAAACAGCAAAATATAAGAGACAAATCACGTCTTGATTCAGTTGAAATAATGCAATCATACTTAAGAATGTTATTATTTAGATGAATTGTAAGTAGTCTTAAAATTTTATGCCAGACAGCTGGGCCATTGGAGGAAAATTTCATGCAGCCCGACAGAAAAGTTACCAGCCACAGGCAGGAGGGCAAGTAGTTATTTTGGACACTGATAAATAGCATGATCTCTGTTTCTTTTGGTATGAAACCTGACTTGATTGTGCTGGTGTAACTGAAGGTGTAACATTGATGACCAATATTCTTTAATACCGAGTATGTACACTCCTACAGCATTTCCACACGTTCCATGATTTATTCTACAAATGTTATTTATTGTGCCCACTGTGCATTGATATGTGGTCCTATATTACTTGTCTCATGCGGGTCAGGGCTCAATCTAATGCGTCACAATTTGCAGAGTTGTGTCCCTTAGGCATGCCAGCATCCTGTAATCATGGTTTGATTGACTGGGTGTCCAGTCATCTCATGCATCAAGATTTGCAGAGTTGTGTCCCTTAGGTATGCCAGAATCCTGCAATCATGGTTTGATTGACTGGGTGTCCAGTCATCTCATGCATCAAGATTTGCAGAGTTGTGTCCCTTAGGTATGCCAGAATCCTGTTTTCATGGTTTGATTGACTGGGTGTCCAGTCATCTGGGTGTCCAGTCACTTCATGCATCACGATTTGCAGAGTTGTGTCCCTTAGGCATGCCAGCATCCTGTAATCATGGTTTGATTGACTGGGTGTCCAGTCATCTCATGCATCAAGATTTGCAGAGTTGTGTCCCTTAGGCATGCCAGAATCCTGTTTTCATGGTTTGAATGACTGGGTGTCCAGTCATCTAATGCATCACAATTTGTTCTGTGGAGTTGTGTCCCTTTGGCGTGCCAGAATCCTGTAATCATGGCTATGATTTGCAATGATTATGTTTCTAGGTTTGTCAGCACCATACAACGTGGTAAACGTCCTACATAAAGCTGACATGTGATACACCTGAAATATTGTTAACAACGGCATTAAACCCAATTTAATCTCTCTCCTATGAGGGTTCTGGAACTAGGGAGGTGTCACATGTCCAATGCTGGTCATACGAGAGGACTAGATTGTGTATTTGATGGGCACAATGGCTTTGATGTCCATCTGTCAGCTGGATGGATTGTCGTGTATTTGGTCGGATTGTTCTTCACACTATCGACCACTGGTTTGGCTGTTTCAAGCTCACTTGCAGACATGATATGGCCTTAATATGGACTTTGCCACAATAGTCCAGCCACAATAATGTGCATCTTTATGATGCATCAAAACACTACATCATCCCAGTCAGGGGATAAGTTTGCACTCAACTTTTGTTCTCGGCTGCCTGGGCAGTAACCAATCAAAGCTGTCTGTGAGGTGTGAAGTCACATTACCATCTCATCCTACCAGGTACCCATTCACTGCTGGCATATTTGGAATTATGTCACTTGTCTGAGGAGACACCACGTATTACATGTGCTTGAGTGTTCAGTGACCGAAGCCCAAGAAACTCCACGTAGTCAAGCTGCCCAGTGTGGTCAAATATTCAGCTACTCTCTGCGACCCGTGTTGGCTGATATAATTTGTTTAATCTCAGTCTCGAAGAATTGGGCCGTCTGCTAGCCTAGTGGTTAAAGCGTTCGCTTGTCACGCCGAAGACCCGGGTTCGATTCCCGACATGGGTACAATGTGTGAAGCCCATTTCTGGTGTCCCCCGCCGTGATATTGCTGGAAAATTGCTAAAAGCGATGTAAAACCATACTTACTGACTGACTGACAGGACCACGGGACACAGGACACAATTAGCTGTAAAATTGCTGATGCGACATTTAGCAATAATCATTCACACACTAACTAGGACCTGGCCTGTCATTTATAATATTCAGGACATATATGGTAAGCAGTGACATATAATCAACATATATATCATCCAAGAAATACTTATATTTGAAATGGATTTCCACATAATATGTTTGGAGTAAGGAATTTCTCTGTAAATATTTCCCAATATTTTGAAAGACAAAGTTGACCTGAGGATTTCAGCTTCTGTATTCTCCAAAGCAACATTTCGGACCAGATGCTGGATAGATCATTAACAAGAAAGATAACGGAACCAGCATCTGTACCGAAAACCTCGCGTTGAAAGAATAATGAAGTTAAAATCCATGTAAGGCGTCTATGTTTGTTGTAAGAGGCGACTAACGGGATCGGGTGGTCAGGCTCACTGACTTGGTTGATGCAAGTCATCGTATCCCAATTGCGTGGATCGATGCTCATGATATCAATCACTGGATTGTCTGGTCCAGACTCCATAATTTACAGACCGCCGTCATATAGCTGGAATATTGCTGAGTGAGGGCTTAAACAACAAACAAACCATCGAACAAATAATCCATATGTAAACTCTTTGTTGACACCAGAGCTTTTATAATGTCACTTTTATAAAGATATTTTGCCACTTGTGTACCATCAAGTAACCATGGAGACACTGTGTACCGGTACATGTCCGTATCATCCCAACTGGAACCACCACACTGCTACTTAATGCCTCTTCAGATGGAAGAGTCCATTGTTTGCTTGCACCATAATGTTTGAAGATGCCATATTTGGTCCTGTCTGTACATTAGATGGAAGAGTCCATTGTTTGCTTGGCCCATAATGTTTAAAGATGCCATATTTTGTCCTGTCTGTACATTAGATGGAAGAGTCCATTGTTTGCCTGGCCCATGACTTTTAAAGATGCCATATTTGTCTGTGTAGCTGTTACCCTTGTCTGTTGAGCGAGTCGCTGTATTTTAATGTTGGGAGAGAGGCGTCCGAGTGCTTCACACCGTTTTACCATTGTCAAAATACAATCACTGCCTTTTTAAACCCTGGTCTATCACGACTTCTTGGAACCTGCTCCACAAAGTGACCATGGCATTGTGGCGTCTGTAACCATGGTAACATGATTCCATGGTGACATGAGGTTACATCTGCTGAAAACATGGCAGCACGAGGTAAAACCTTCTGTGACCATGGTATCTTTAAGTTGTCATTAACCATGGTAACGCAAGTTTATGCCAGCCATTACACAAATCATAGTCATGACATTAAGATTTTGTGTAACCATGGTAACACTTAAGTTAAGCTCTTCATGACCATGACCATGGTTATGCAATTTTAAGCATTGTGTTAGCATGAGGTGAGACCTTGCATAACCATGTGGTCCATATATGTTTCTTCATAGACATGTTTCTTTGTGGAATAGATTCCGGAAATATTCCTTTCTATGCAAGATTTTGTCAACAATTGTACATTATGGCAAGCATCACTGCCAAGAATTTAATTATTACTGAATGTCTCATTCCACCTTTAAGATAACTGATCTATATTTGCCATGGTATTCTCACATGATCATTTGTTTTATGACAGAAGTTGATTTTATATTTGGGATGATTGTACAGAGTTTGTACTGGGGAGTCCTCCATGCCTGTCCACGGAGGCAGTGTAAATGGGGAGTCCTCCATGCCTGTCCACGGAGGCAGTGTAAATGGGGATACCTTGCATTGTATATCCGGGGAAGAATAGGTCTTCAGCAACCCATTCTTGCTGTAAAAGGCGACTATGCTTGTCGTAAGAGGCGACTAACGGGATCCGGTGGTCAGGCTAGCTGACTTGGTTGAAGCATGTCATCGATCCCAATTGCGTGGATCAATGCTCATAATGTCAATCACTGGATTGTCTGGTCCAGACTTGATTATTTACAGACGCTATCATATAGCTGGAATATCGCTGAGTGTGGCGTAAAACAACCAACCAACCAAGCATTGGATATCATGCGCCTTATCTGCCTGTTTCACAAGAGGATCTTAGCCCTAGGACGATCAGTGAGTGTAAAAAAACGGGAGTTAGGACCGACTTACCGCTAAGATCGCTCTGTGCAACTGTGTTGTGTCTGTGCAGTGTTGGCATATATTTAACATGAAAGTCAGGAAGTCTTTGTCATAACTCTTCTGTTATCAGTAAAGAATTCCGAGGTTCCTATGTTCAAGTCTCACAGAAGCAAATACCGTATTCGACGTAATAAGCGGCCCGCTCTAATAAGCGCCCACGGCGATATTTGCTAATATATTTGGCTAGTGAACTATCCCAATTAGCAGCCCTTCCGATTGATCAATGTACACAAGACCTATTTATTTGTGTATAATACGCACTCGTGTGTTATATGCACCCTTAACTATGGGCAATTAAATTCTGGAAAAATATATCTGTCGTATATAAACATTTCAGGCTGTCAGCATAAACCACGAAATTTATCTTTCAACTCTAATTTTTGTCACCAAAATGATATTCTAATAAGAGCACCCTATTTCTAATTTTGAGAGCGCCCTGGGCACTTATTACGTCGAATACGGTACTCTTTCCTAGTGATTCTGCTGGAAACAAAGGACATTTTCATGATGTCAAATTTCGACTTTTCTGTGTAATTACCAAAGTGAGGGAACAAAATTAGGACATGTTGGAAGATAGTGTCAAAGAAAATGAACCAATCCTTAGTCTCAAATACTGTAGTATACCCCGACAAGAGAATCAATGCCCACACCATCGACCACCGATTTGTTTGTTGATCCTGTAACCATGGTAACTGCTATATGTTTTTGTACTAGTGCTTACCTAATTAACACATTCAGCATTGCAGGGTTTGCTTTGTACACAGATGGTCTGGGTTTGATTCTCACGGTGGGCAGATTGGGAAGCTACTGATGGTTTAGCTGTGCTGATGTGAGAACGGACTTGATGTGAAAAGGTGATCTTTTCACTCAGTGGTAATTAAACTCTTGCAGTATGTGACAAATGTTGCAATGGTTTTTAATGGAGTATTTGTCTGTTGTGTTGCACTTGAGACGAAAGTTAGGCAATGTGTTTGTATCATAGTGTGTACAGGGTTTTCTCAACTGTTGCTTTGTTTCCATGGAAACCACAGTTTTCATGTTCCTGTGATCTGAATCTGCCTTGACAATAAATGTGATCTTTTCAGTCCAGTCTTTGTCCTTTTATTCGGTTGAATCCCATGCAAGTTCTGGTCTCAGTGGTGCTGCTAAGATGGCTCTGAATTAAGGATTGGTTGACCAAAATGGCTGCCAATGTACATGTTGCCATAATGATTTGTTTGTTTGTTGTTTAATGCCGCACTCAACAATATTCCAGCTATATGAAGGCGGTCAGTAAATAATCAAGTCTGGACCAGACAATCCAGTGATTGACATCATGCGCATCAATCCACACAATTTGGATACGCTGACATGCATCAACCAAGTCAGCGAATCTGACTACCTGATTCTGTTAGTCGCCTCTTACGACAAGCATAGTGTCCTCTTAAGACAAGCATGGATTGCTGAAGATCCATTCTAACCCAGTTCTTCACGAGTCTGTTGCCATAACGAATGCCAAGGGAGATCACTTCCGTGACTCTGTTGATGTTAGTGTTAAAAAAACTATAGAGAGGCAGCGTGAAGCAATATCCATATTGGTTTGCATTTTATAAATCTACTTGCTATATCCATGATGGGATTCTGGGTTAAAATAGATCCCAACATTCTATCCTTTGCTCGTCGTTGGAAGCGACTTCATGGATAAGGTAGTTGTGCTCAGGGACTTGGGCAATTGTCTGTCGTCGTTGCTGATGAGTGCTCCGTGGTCTAGCAATCTCATCAGAATCAGATCTGAGTTCTCGCTACCGCTAAACAAAGATCTGAGGACATCCCATTATGGGTCACGTCAGAATGACCTTCGCGAACTTTGACCAAGCACTGAAATGACTAACAAGAAGTCAACATCAGCCAATTAGATAGCAGCTTTCTCGAGCTTTACGACACTTGTTTCAACCTTGCGACTTCCATTTCAGACTACACTTGTAAAATATGTTGACACAGTTCTCGATTAAAATTTTGAAAACTGAACAAACGAACATTCCGTAATGTCTAATATATGGTTGAGATTATATGGCAGTGCTTCCCACATATTGCGCAACGCCTCCTTCATTCAAATGTTTATCCCATGGAAGCGAGAGATAGACGATAATTTTGACGGAATCAGTCGTACAGGCTGTAACTGTCGTTCGGAATACTCCATGTAAATGTTTTCGAGGTTGCATGATTAGAAAACACACTCCAACTGTCCCTTTCATGATCTGGTAAGCGACGCTTTGACTGGTCGGATGAAAGGTCATTCTGACCCGCAATGGGATGTCCTCAGATCTTTGTTTAGTGATAGTGAGAACTAAGATCTGATTTTAATGAGATTGGTAGTCTAGTGGTAGAGCCTTCACCTGGAGAGAGGAAGGTCCAGGGTTCAATCCCCGGCCGTGTCATACCAAAAGATGCAGAAAATGATTACTCTTTGTTACCCTGTCTGGCGCTCGGCATTAAGGGGCTAAAACAAGGACTGGTCAGCTCGGAGTCAGTATACTGTGTCTGAGTGGGGTGTTCATGTTAAACTGCGGCATGGTATCTCAGTGAGCCAGCACTATAAATCGGCATCAGTCTGGAATAGTACAAGCAGCCACACACACACATACATGTGCATGGACGTAGCTATATAAGTGCAATAATCTTGGACGCGACGTTAAACCCAATTTAACCTCACCTCAAAGGACAAACAGCGGGGTTTATGAGGTGATATTGCTTACTTGTGTAGCGCCACAGGCTGACATGATATAAATATAGCTTGAGATATTATTGACTGATGAATGAGTTTGGTTTAGCGCTGTTTTGAATAGTTTGTAAGTTAAATCACAGTGTGTCAACTTTAGGAGGAAAGAAAGCCAGAAGTGATGCAGGTGTTAGACATTTACCACACTTGAAAAACCCAACCCAGAAACATCAAAAAAAATATTTGGGATTCCAACCCAATTATCACAAGTTCTTGTTACACCTGAGGTACACGACCCTGGTGCCAAGATGACAGTGCCAGCCGACATCCCCCGACTAGGGGGGAACAGCCTGTCAGAACATAGCGGTGGTAATAGTGGCGTTAGTTTGGCTTTATTCCAACATAAGAGCCGTTTTCAGCTATATTCCAGCAAAATTACAGCTACTTTTGGCAATATCACAGGAGTTTTCAGCAAAATCAAATCCTCCAACAATATTCCAGCAACATCACAACCGCTTTCATCAAGATCACAACTACTTTCAGAAACATCAGCCTCTTTCAGCAGTATCACAGTTGCTTTCAGCAATATTCCAGCAACGTCAAATCCTCCAACAATATTCCAGCAACATCACAACCACTTTCAGCAATATTCCATCAAGATCACAACTACTTTCAGAAACATCAGCCTCTTTCAGCAATATCACAGTTGCTTTCAGCAATATTCCAGCAACGTCAAATCCTCCAACAATATTCCAGCAACATCACAACCGCTTTCAGGAATTTTCCAGCTGCTTTCAGGAATGTTCCCATCAAGATCCCAACCACCTTCAGCAATATTCCAGCTGCTTTCAGCAATATCCCAATCACTTTCAGCAATATTCAATCAAGATCACAACTACTTTCAGAAACATCAGCCTCTTTCAGTAATATCACAGTTGCTTTCAGCAATATTCCAGCAACGTCAAATCCTCCAACAATATTCCAGCAACATCACAACCGCTTTCAGCAATATTCCGTCCGGATCACAATTGCTTTCAGAAACATTAGCCTCTTTTTAGGGATTTTCCAGACGCTTTTAGGAATGTTCCAACCGCTTTCAGGAATGTTCCAACCGCTTTCAGGAATATTCCCATCAAGATCCCAACCACTTTCAGCAACATTCCAGCCGCTTTCAGCAATATCCAAACCGCTTTCAGCAATATTCCAGCAAGATCACTGTAATGGACACCAGAACTGCAGTGTGGCTGGTGCAGGCCACAGTAGTGGGGTGGTCGTTCTTCCAGGGGACACACCCTTCTCTGAAATCCCGAGATCTCTCTCTGGACTGAACCAACCATCAGTATCTCTGGTCAGCTGACACAAACAAGGAAGATTGCTTAGGAGAAATAATTTATTCTGACAGTCAATCACAGCCATACATACCAGACAGTCAGAAAAATCCAGTTATTTATATCATCATATTCTATGTACACAGAACCAGTCACAATTAGCACAGTTGACTGTTATAAATACTCAATATTATGACAAATGGAATCATGTGGCACTAGTGTTCTGAACCACGCATGCAAGTACCATATTTTCTTGTGTATAGTGCGCAATTTTTTCCCCAAAAAACACAGCTGTGTAGAAGGGGGTGCGCATTATACACAAATAAAGAGTTTTGGTTTTTTTTCCCCCATGGAAAGATATAACCGTGTGCGCGCTCGTTGCACCGGAAATACGATGTCAACAAATCCACACTGAAGTATGCAAAACATCATGTAATTACACTGTCTGGTTACAAAAAGTGTTCTTTGCATATTTGGACTCATGTAAGTAACTTATTTCATTAATTTTATTCAAAATTCCATTAATATTGTCTTAATTAATTTCGGCGAAATCGTGTGTGAAGAGATCGGAAGATCGCACAACTCACTGTTATTAACAGCAACCACGATCAGATTACAGCTATTGACGCCTTGAAACGAACATTAGTTGACAGAGAATGGATACATATATCATAAATGCCATACTTTGACTCGTTAAAAGTCATATTTGTTATAGTTTGACGATCCTATGTCAACATGTAGTTCTAGACACTGCTCCTGCTGCCTCCCACATCTCCCACAATTCAGTGAGTGAGGACCTGACGTACTGACTTCAATTTCTTTAAGTCTTCAATATGAGTCTAGATGCTAGTACTGCCTGACAACCGATCAAGCATAGGTTGCGGGTAGCCTATATTCTCACCAAGAAACCCAATGGCTTCACTAACATAACAACTTTTGTCTTGAACTAGTGTAGTTTTGATTATCCAGGGTATAAAATAAATAATCTGGACCAATTTGTACCCAGCCAATTCCATTTAACAATCAGCACATCGTATACCATCACTTAATCACTTCACCCGTGAAGATCTGTGTTAGAATAGGTCTTCAGCAACTAAAAGTAAAACTAAAACTTAAAACAGCTTGCCGTAAAAGGAGACTACTGGTAAAATTGTCGTAAGATGTGACTAACGGGATAGGGTGGTCAGACTCACTGACTTGGTTGATGCCTGTCATCAATCCCAATTACGAGGATCGATGCTCATGATGTCACTGGTTTGTCCGATCCAGACTCAATTATTTACAGACTGATGTCATATAGCTGGACTATTGATGAGTGTGGCAAACAAACAAAAAATGTTGTTTTACACTGCACTCAGCAATGTTCCAGCTATATGATGTCAGCCTGCAAATAATCAAATCTAGACAAGACAATCCAGTGATTGATATTGTGAGCAACAATCCACGCTTTTGAGGTGGGATGACACTCTATCAACAAAGTCGCTGAGCCAACCACCCAATCAGTTCTATTCAAACCCAGAATCTCCATCGGTACATTAAACAAGAAGTACATCGTATACCATACCTTAATCACCTGCATTAAACAAGCTGAAGAGTCAAAATGAGTATGAATATCACTTTCCCGAGAAAATCCATAAATCAATTGACAACCCGAAACCTCAAAAGTGCAGGAATTTATTTAGGATTCTAAACTAAGTGCCCCTATCAGGAAAAGATCATTATTTTTTTCAAAACTTAGTGTTTATTTTCCTAATCCTGAGGTATTTTAACATTGCATTTAGTGATGAATGTAAATCTAAGCTTTAAAGCCGCTTCCTGTTTATTGGCCCTGAAGTCAGTGAAACACAAGCTGCTCCTAAAAAGCCTATCATTAGTTGTAACTACATTAACATAAACTGGGAATTTTTTAATTCCAATTAGGTAAGTTTTACTGACATTACTGATATTGGCCTCTGAGTGAGTGAGTATGGTTTTACGCCGCTTTTACCAATATTCCAGCAATATCACAGTAGGGGACACCAGAAATGGGCTTCATACATTGTACCCATGTCGGGAATC